ATATATATATATATATATATATATATATATATATATATATATATATTCCATCTGATTTGTTTACTTCATCCTCTTGTCTCACTACATATGTCTGGAATTTACTGTTATCTAAAGTCAATCTAATGCTTGTTATAAGGTTCAGAATTTAATTTTTCATATCTTTGATTTTCAAATTTTTTCCCTTTATATAACTTTTAAGAGATGGTTCTGCATCCTCTTGTTACATTTTGCTTTTCTTACTTAAGTTTCCTTTTCATAGGTCATTGATTATAAAACTCAGCAAAGCAGACTCTTTCCGCTGTTGGCCTCAGCATATGCTTTTAGGTTTGTTGGTGAATGGTTGAAATGGCTCTATAGGGATGTAACAGAGAGACTGCAAGCAAATGATTTCTCAACATTGCCAGAAGCTCATGCATGCACTGCTGGTTTGAAATCTTTGACAACCTCTGTGACTGCAGTATGTGAATTGTTTAACATATACAGTTAATTTTCTGCTATTGCTTGTTCTATTTTAGGTGTTTTTGCACTCAAACACTTGAAATATTTATCAGATAGCATCATTGACCTATACTGTCACTCTTTTGTGTAATCTGTCAATTACTGTATTCCAAAGTTGCTTAAGTTATTATGTAGAAACAGTATTGTTAAAAGAAGCTTGGGCACTCACTGAGATGCTCGGGTGAGGCAAGGTGAGGCCGGAGCGCCTTAAAGGACACGGGCAAGGCACCTCAAGGAACAGACTACTTTTTCTTTTTAGCAAATCTTTTCTTGTTCGAGGAAGATTTTTTTTAAGTTCAAATAACTAGCATAGAAGATCTTTAAAAGTGGGATGAAACCAAGGTTTTTAATTTCGAATGGTACCGCCCGTATCGGGTGGTACTGTCGATTGGGGCTATTTCCACCCCGTTATCATGTGAAATCAGTCGAGGATGGTTGATTTCGACCGTCGCGGCTTGCTACAAGGCGGTATTAGCTGAGGGAGAAGGAAGAAGAGAGAGAAGAAAAGGGAAAACCTAGAGACTTGTCATTGCCCTCCCTCGTCGGAAGCCATAGATGAGATGTCGCCTCCTCGTCTATGGCGACGTGGCCTCTGCATCGTCGGCTACTTTTCCTTATCCGCGCAAGGAGAAGAAGCCTCAACGATGACGTCGCCGAGGCTTCGCGAGGAGAAGAAATATCTTCTCCCCACACGGGGAGAAGAAACGAGGCGACATCGCCCTTTATATGTATATATGTATATATATATATGTATATACCGAGTGGTATGCCAGAGCATATTGCTCGGTATACTTATACCGTTTCATATCGAGCTGATCTTGATACTCCGATACGGTACGAAATTGTGAACCTTGGATTAAACATTGATTAGTCAATATTTTAAATATTATCAAATATTTGCTAGGATTATGTGATCTTAGATGTTTATCTTAGACAGTCTTTGTTCTTGTTTTGGTCTTACTAAGATTATTCCATATTTTTACATGTAGCTCTACACCTTTTCTCTATTATTAATACCTAGCTTACTATAATAAACTATCATAAGGTTGTGTTTTGATATAAATCTTTCTTTTGCCTCTTTTTTGGCTGTTATATGTCTTCTAAATTCTCTTTGTTTTTTCAATTTTATCAATCTGTAAAACATTATATTTTACTACTGATTGTTTTTTGAATTATCTCACTACAACTAGCTCTCTTTTGAAGTTATACCTCTACTCTTAGATTCTACAAGAATCTTTTGTGATATTAATATTGTCATCAACCAATCTCCAATCCTTTTCTTTCTCAATCTTATTTTTAAAAAGGCCTTACATTGTAGTTTTCTAAATTCCATAATCTAGTTCTATTAAAACCAAGGTTCGCAATACCGTACCATACCGGTATTTCGACCTGGGCTCGGTGTCGGTACGGTACGGTATACCGAGCGGTACACCCAGGTGTATCGAGAGGTACACCTGGGTGTACCGAGTACTGTAGTACTGCTACAGTGCTACAGTGCCTCAGACCGGTAACAGTCGGTCCGCGTACCGAAAACCTGTCGGACCGGTACGTACCACCCGTACCGGGCAGTACGACTCGGTACGGCAGACCCTGATTAAAACTATTAATCATATTTTTTTCTCTTCTATTTTGTGAAATATATATTTAAAATGATTAACTTAGGTTGATTTTTCAGGCTTTCACCATGCAGTCCTCACATGTAACTCTATCTTTCCAGTGAGAAAATATATCATGTGACTATAATTATATCCATTTTTATAAGTAATTAAATGTCCACCTCTTTTCTTGAAGTGTGTATTAATGCTATTATAAGATGTAGCAAATCATAAAGTCATCCTCTTCACTCCTCTCCTCATATCTATATCTTAATTCATAGCACCTTTTATTGTAAGTTTTTATTTTCACCATCTCCTTATGCTCTATTCATAATTCTCTTTTGATCTTATCGTTTAGTCCAATCTAAGAGGCATGATCACTTCAAAAATTCAAAATTGTTCTTCAAACACATTATGTTTCGACCCTCAAATTTCTATTGATGAACATCATTGTCTAGATTTTATTAATCCATTGCCCACATCCAAGTTGTGCAATGACGCAAGACCAATCTGATAATTTTTTGCCCTCTTAAGTCTTATCTTTCTATTATTATGTTACATGGTACAAAAATCATTGCTGAAAGCATCAACACACTGCCATCATAATCTTGTACTTGTTGCTCCAAAATTCTATGCTTTAGAAACTGTTGATTGTACTAAACTTCCCTTGATGTGTCCTTAGCTAAATGCATCCATCATTCATTTTATGTAGTGAGGATTGGAATGTGATTGATTAGCATCAAATTATGTATCTATTTTTTTTATCCATTTTATTTGTATGTATTGAAATGAATGACAGATTATTGTGGATTTCATGTCTAGACAAACCATAAGTGCTTTCTGTTCTGTTATTTGCTTAGACTGGTTACCCATCTCACTGTTTATGTATCTATTTCAGTCTGCAAAATATATCTTAGTTACATAAATAAATTCAAAAAAATAATATAATTCTTGTATTTGCTCAAAGAGGTGGAATGTTGACTCCTCTTTTAGAAATAGTACCATTTCTATGGACTTCTCTGTGTAGTGAATGTAGACTCTTGTTTTCTACTGCTCAGGCTTGAAGGAAAAATTGAGGAAATAGATTACATGCTTGACAGATTGAGACTTTCTATGACCCCTTCACTTTTGCTACATTTTTCTTATTCCAAAATTTGATGGTATTGTTGTCATTAAAGACTTTTGGCCTATTACCCTTTTTAATTGCTCTTTGAAATCTTAAACTAAATCTTGGCTTATAGACACTCTAAAGTCATCAGTGATCTGAAACATATCAGTGTGCATTTATTAAGGGCTGAAACCTCCCACATCACTTATAAGACAAGCCCCATGAACTTGTATGTTACAATGAACAGAACGGTCTCATCATAAAATTGGATTTTTAGAAGACTTTTCTCTTTGTTCATGCTTTCTTCCTCATCATAAAACGGTTGCCCATCCTTTGCCTCTAAAAGTATGGCTTATAACTTGTTTAAAAGTGCATAATTTCACACATCGTTATCTGGTCCATCCAAATTGGAGACAATTTATTACCAGCTAATTCTTTTATCATAATCCTGAATTTGGTATTGCCAATTAATATTCCCATCATAATCCTGAACTTAGTAGATTTTGCTAGTTCAAAAGTCTCTAATAAACTTGATTTTCTAAAGGAAGGAACTGCACAGCTGCAAATTAATACATGGCCTTTCATTCCATTGAATATTGTTTCTTTTGTTGTTGCTGTCGTCTTTCAGATTCTTCATTTTCATTTGTATCTGCTTTGTTGTATTTAATGTGATTGTGTATGATATTGAAAGGCTACGACATCTGGCTTCTTCATGAGCTTCCATGCTCTGTAAGAAATTCTGTAAAGAGGGTGAAAAAAATTTTCTTATAACAATACTAGAGGTCAAGAGCTAAATTCTAATGCCCATTGTTGACATCAATCTATTCTTAGCTTTTTCTGGCAGATATGTTTGATAATTGTCTTTGCTCATTTATAATTTCCATTTATAACTACAACTTAATATTTCTAATTCTTAGGATGGCATTGAAGAATGTCGAAAACTATGTGGTGGCCATGGTTATCTTTGTAGCAGTGGGCTTCCTGAGTTATTTGCTGTCTATGTTCCTGCCTGCACTTACGAAGGAGATAATGTTGTTTTGCTTCTGCAGGTTAGTATATTTTTCACTTTCTCTTTTGACAGTTACAAATTTAAAATTTTCATCACCTGCATGAGTGTGCTAAATGGCTGCATTACTACTATATTTTGATTTGAAATTGTTGTTTCTATTTGGGGCACCAATTGTTTTGACCAAGGACCACCGTACCGCCCAAAACGGTATGACTAATATGGGCATGGACCAGTATGCGGACTGCCCCCACTATTATTCATCAACTATTCACTAACCTTCTTGATATCTCATTATCAGTCACCACGTGTACCACATACTCTAGTTTGATCCTCTCTCATTGAGTCCATCAAATGCTCTACTGTGTATTATGGATCTTATCTAAAGTATCATTAGACTTATGAAAAACTATTCTTCAATTGCAATGAACTATGTAGCTAATGATGCTTATGCTTGTGGGCTCAGGCCAACTATTGCACATCACTATGACACTGAGGAGGTCCCACTCTTCTTGAATGATTTAACCCAATATTTAAGCTCCTGTACCTGGTCAGCCAAATGGATGCCATGTATTTCTTCTAGGATCTGTGGTTGTATACTAGGATCAACCTTCTGGGTGGAGGACACCATGCTTTGGAAGTAAGGACTTTGGGCTATATGTGTTGGAATTTGCTGGAAATTGAACCACATTGTAATTGCTTTTTGATGTCCTTCCTCTTCTTCATATATGTATGATCAATCTGTGTCCCGATGTATTGTTGGCCATGTTGCAAGATATATGTCCCGATAAACTTCCAATCTAATGAAAGGCAATCATTGTGGTCTGTGGCAACAAAGTTGTTAGTTGTCTCAAATTCCACATCATTACCATTAGAATATGTTTCACTACTCACTCTCAAGGAGCACCTTTGAGATAATTTTTTGTGGGCTTGCTAAAATGGCTTCAGGTTTTGGTCATCACAAAATGGATGTAGCTTTCAGAGTCTCTCTTCATTCATTATAAACGGTTGCTCATTTCATAGAACTTGATCTTGAAAGTATCATGTCATATTCTTTCTTTGTGGCGGACAAACTTTGTAACACTGCATGGTGGTGGGCTTCATTATTAATGTTATTGGATTTTTGTCACTTCCTAGTCTTGGCTCTAAGGTAACTCGCTTAGCCCTTGGACCAGGATTAGTGGAGGTTATAGGTCCAACACAACCTAACATAGACAATGATTATTTTGTTGGAACATTTGGCCGAAAGGAGGTGTCCGCAGGACATCCTTCAGGTGTAATATATATCTCAAACTTGGTTAGAATTCACAGCCAAACCATAGGCTCTCTGTGGAAGTTATAGCTCAACTTTGCTTAGCATTGAAAATAGTAGAAAACCTGGTTTACTTCTATGTGACCTGTCTTCAAATACTTGTGTTGTATGGTCCACCAAATTACTGTTGTTTCTTCCTTGGCCTCCATGAGTGATATCTACCTATCATTTGTGAACTAGTTCCATGTGAAAGTTATTGTCGTTGTGAACCTAAACAAGAAACATCTCCAGGTTCTGATCTTTGGTAAAATCAGAATCTTCCAATTTTGCTCCACATCTGGATTTAGTTGCAAAACTGTCACTTGGATAGGAGCCAGATGAGGAGTGCAAATAAAATCATCTTGCCTGTGAAATGAGTGATATGAATGATGTTTCCTGATTCATACTAGTGATGCTTTGAAAGAGAGCAATGAGAACTTTCACATCTTCTTGATCATGCTGTTTTTTAAATTGGAACAGCACTTAAAGATGAAATTGGAAAATATCCAATCTCATGAGTGGATATGAATTGCAAGTAGCTCAAAATGTCTCTACTCCTGTTATAACCACCTTGTATTTGGCTATTAAAAAATATTTTCTATGTTTTTACCATAAGTTTCATTGTAAATAATTATTCTTTAACATAGCTGTGTTGTTTTAGGTGGCAAGGTTCCTTATGAAGACTGTTTCTCAACTAGGATCAGGGAAAAAACCTGTTGGTACAACAGCATATATGGGAAGTGTGCAACACTTGATGCAGAGTAAATGTGATGTACTCACAGGTAAAACATGAAGTATTTCCTGTGAGAACATTATCCTTTTTTTTCAAATAATTTAGTTTACAGAACAAGGATCCAAGTACTTGTCCCTGATGAATTTGGTTGACTATATGGTATGTCATTATAATGCAGCTAATAGAGGTTTCAGATACTAATTGGGCCTATACATTTACTGTATTTACTGGTCTGTACTGGTCCGAAATTACTGTTCCATATTTTCATGTGATACTGTCCTGTACAAGTCTGAGTACTGCCTGGTTCGCTGGTTAACGGACACATCCGATCAGTTGCAAAGCCAATATTAGACTAGTATTTGAAAACTTAATGCCATAGTGTACTGCTGGTAAAACATAAACAAATGTTTCTTATGTTGGTGTTACTTTGGTATGGTCATTATGTTATGCTCTGTTATGGCCTCAGAGCAGTAAATACTGGAAGGTAGCTTTTGGTACTTAAATAAAGAGTCTGTTTGGTGGCTTTTAATTTTTCTTTCATCAAGTTGCAACTCTTCTTTGTCTTTATGTGCAGCTGAGGACTGGTTGAAACCTTCGGTTATACTGGAAGCATTTGAAGCTAGAGCTATCAGACTGGCTATTAATTGTGCCAAAAATATTAGCAAGTTTCCTAGCCAGGAAGAAGGTTAGTTTATCAACCATGCATTTGAATTTTTATAGTTGAATTTAAATTCCACTCAAGTAGGTCTTTAAAATGATAAATATGCTATACAGATTGGCATGTGTACAATTGCTTGTCTAATAATCTATGGTGAAGACGTCACATGTTCTCGTAAAAGAGGGAAAATGAAATTGTTTGTGGCTGGTTCTAACTTCTATTTTTTTTTGGTTATTTCTCATTAGTTCTCGTGTGGTGGTCATTTACTGCTCTAGAAGTGAAGAAAGTACATGACTATTTAAGTGCCTAGGTCTTTAACATGTGGAAATCTTGGATAGGAAAGTTTTTGGGCAAATACAATAAACTTGGCTCTACAATTCAGTTGATGATGATGATGGTGATAACGAGGCAGTGGTGTTGAAACTTTTGTGTCAGAGAACTAGGAAAATATGAAGCAACTGTCAATGTCTGGCATGAATAATAAATAATACAGAATCTGAAAGGCCTTAATTCTTTTACATGATAACCAGGATAGTAGGAAATGGTGTGCATTAAAGCTTTATAATATGTGGATTTGGGAGTCAGTTTTTGCTTAAGACTGCCAGTAGAAGACAATAAGCAATTTGTGAACCTTCACTATATCGATGGATTTGGAGTTGAAGTATATTTTCTGATTTGATTTTGTAAGTAAAGATTTTGGTGGTGATACTGATTGCAAGGTCAGAATCATTGTGTTATCATTGAAGTGTCGGCACTGGAACCATCTGTTACTGGTCAATCACACCTTCTCTTTAGGAAATTTATTTGGCCCATTTGGATGGTTTTATTTTGTACTTTAAGATGAGGATGCAACATTTCATAAAAGCAGGCGCAAAGTTAGCAGGTTCAATCTAATACAGGAGATATGTTGTACCCATTTGGACTGTTGTATTTTGTACTTTAAGAAATTTGTTAGTCCATTTAAAATGGTTTTAAAAAACAAGTTCTAGCTAAATTCTGTCTGACATTTTTATTTTAAAGTATGCATATTGAGCTGTTGCTACTTTTCCAGTATTTTGAGTCTCATATGCTGGGGATATAGAAATAACTGCTATAATCTAGGGCAGTTGTTCTTAAGGCTTCAATTTAGAGTTGCTTCTGCTGCCCTTTTAAAATTTTTCTACTTTGTGATTTTTTCTACACATGTTCAGGTTTTTCTGAGCTTTCTGCTGATCTATTGGAGGTGGCAATTGCCCATTGTCAATTGATCATAGTATCCAAGTAAGTATTCTATTTAGTACAAATGCCATTTTTCATGTAAAAAGTACTAGTATGAGGTGATGTGGCATACTAAAGCCTTAACATGCATTTCTTGTCGTATAGGCCTAGAATTATACAAACTTTTGGTTTACCTGACACCATCACAAACTCAATTCTATGAACACCCAATCTAGTAATGGTGCTTTCAGAAGCATATTAAACAACATACATATGTGACTTCAATACATATCATTTCCAGATTCATCGACAAGGTTAAAGAAGACATACAGGGACATGGAGTCAAGGAACTGCTACAGATTCTCTGCAATGTATATGCTCTCTCTCTGGTTCATAAGCATCTCGGTGATTTCATCTCAACTGGGTATATTACACCCAAGCAAGGTGCACTAGCCAATGAGCAGCTGCGGTTTCTATATGCCCAGGTATTTGTTGTTTATCTCTATATCCTAGAGTTATTTTCTATTGCCTTTTTAAGTTCCTTTCCAGCCTTGTGTGGATTGATTAATGAGACTTACCCTGATTAACAGGTCCGTCCAAATGCTGTTGCACTAGTCGACGCATTTAACTACACAGATCACTATTTGGGTTCTATCCTTGGTCGATACGATGGCAATGTGTACCCCAAACTCTATGAGGAGGCATGGAAAGATCCACTGAATGACACAGTTGTGCCTGATGGATACCACGAGTATGTTAGGCCCTTGCTTAAGCAGAAGTTTACAGTGTCAAGAATGTGAAGATCTAAATTCAGTCAACACCTGGAGTTCCTTTTCTACTCTTTCAGTAATAAATGGATATGGTGAAATCCATACTTGGTTTTACCCTTAAATTTATTATTTTTAATTATGAAGTAAACACGCAGAGTACCCGTTTGAGAAGTCTATGTGAGATGTTTTAACTTATAGTTTGGATAATTGTCAAGATCTGCTAGTTGGATTTGAGAGTTTAGTCGTCATTGTTCAACTAATTTTATAACATGTGAAACTGAAACTGATAGAACTCTGTATTCTATGGTATTTACTCAATCAAAAGTAACCATCGAACAATAATCACCTTACTGTATCAGCCTTGAACATCATCAATTTTAAATTTATGTTTCTAGTTTTCAGATTCCTTGTTTCCAATTGTAAAATAGGTTTCAGTTTACTAGTTAACAATTGCTGATAAGTGGAACTGAGCATGCATAATGTGCCTGAAGCATCCTTGCAGTTTCTCTGATCATATCATCTAACGAATGCTGGATTTGTTCATCTACTGTATAGGCAACTACTTTATCTGCATTGTTTAATCTACTAAATGGAGGTGAGGAAGGGTGAAGAAAGGTCAGGGAGTTATGTGGTTAATAGATTAAGGATGCACAAAGAGAACCCAAGTGTTCAATATCCGATACTGGTAATGTGATGTCAGGCTAAATATGACTTGTTGAGTTGGACTTGCATTAGTTGTCTTTGATCAACTTCAGTTTCGTTTAGTTCATCTGATCACAAATTGAGAATTCACAATTTATCAAGATTGCATCATTTTCTCTCATTGTCATGTACTCATGTTTTTGACTGGTAACTGTGATCCTATTTCATCACCGGAGCATATCATTCAAATTGGGTCATCCATTGAGACTTGATATGACATTGCATTCAATTTCATCACTTGGTTTTCTCGATTGATCCTGATTGTCTCATTTTCATAAATCATGATCAAATTGCAGAGTCTTGACCTGATTCAGCCCACTTAATTTTATCAAGTCTGCATCTAATCAAGGTCTGTTCTTCTTTATAATTCTGCCCCGAATTGCCATATTAACTTAGGTGATATATTGATTAGATTCCATGCATGTGCTATTTCAAACTTACAAAGAAGTATTCAAGCTTTTCAACATGATTGCTATAAATGTCTGTACATAAAGAAGACATGCTTGTGATGTTTTCCAACAGGCTCCTAAATTTCAAAATATATGAATTCCATTGGTATGGACATTCTTCAAAAATTGCAACAAAAGCTTTTCTTTTTGCCAATCTGATATTGTTGTCTCTTTATTAAAAACCACAGATAAATTTCCTTCTCTAGTGTCCACCATTTATCAATCATCAAATTGGATCACCCAAGCAAGTAGCTGCTATTTCTTGGTGACGAGGGTTGGCTCCCTTGCTAGTTCTTTAATCAAAACCAAGCAACTTCTGCTGCAAGCAGACTCTGAACCAGGTGACTTCACAGGTTCATCTGAGCCAAATTTGAGGAGGCCACTTCTTGTAAACTGCAGTTCTACTGAACCACAGCCTCACATCCAAACATGTCCCCTTCTCACATGAAAGATCACATCTAGAAGCTTGATACAACTAAAAGACCAAGTAGGGATTTTACAGGATTCAAAGGACAGAAACTATTTGAGCTCATACATTTCCATCACTAACGTGCTTGAAAGCATGAATATAAAAGTAGATACAAACAGATGCTGGATGCCCTCCACATATTGCCTGATGGCAATTTGTTTGTTTTCGTGGACCAGTAGACATCCATGCTTAATAATATCAAACAGTCCACAAAGGCTTACAAAGCAGTTTTACTGACACATTTTAATCATCTGTCTGCACATAAGACGGACTTAATCCATGTGCAACCCATGTCCAAACTATTGTTCAATGAGCATTGGTGCTGTGTATACGTTTAATGACGACCACAATAGTTGCCATGAGAGACAATATAAACAAAGATCTTAGTACGTCATCCAAGATATGCATGCTTCTTTCTGTTTCCACGCAATGAAAGAGCTCAACCACGAGATGAGTAATCTTATCGATAAGTCCCATAACTTTTGTTTTGATGTTATCCAAGATCCACCTCACAATTATTGTAGCAATGTCGCCGACTCCATTCAAGAGATCGTATTGGATGCTTCCGACTTCTACTTTACAACCTGTAAGAACATTTCAAGTTGAAACTTAAGCAAGATTAGCTCCAAAAAAATATTTATCATGTCCGAAAGAGTCAGATCCATTGCCTAAACATAATTCATTAATTTCATCAGTCAATTTGTTAAAGATATTCTACCATATTTAAGAGAAGACAATGAAATGACAATTTTATTCACTCAAATCGATTACATCAAGCGTTGTACAACTATATAATGATTTTGCACCTTCATAAATAGAAGATTGATCAGCATGTGGTCTTTTATCTCGTTACAACATTATTTTCATTTAACAGTTTGCTTCTGGAAAAGGAGAAGATAGTGCTCCTAAATTGTAGAATTTGATATCAAAATCATGCAGCTGCATGAAGCTATGAACCAGTTTAAATAGTCCATCTTGTCTTGACTTACAACTTACAAGAAACATAGCAATCGAACAACAGACCAAGCTGAAAGTATGACTAACCTCCTATCAATGTATTGTTACTTTTATTCGAGTATATAAGAAAGAGTGTCATGAAGCAGAGTGATTGGCCATAGTGAAACATACTCAGTGGATACTAACCTTTGGAGTTGTCATTCTCTAGATAGAAAATTATTACATATAGCAAAGTCAGAATCTTCCCCGGAGTACAACAATAATAGTAATGCAGGTACCAAGCATTGCATTGCAAAACAAAAATCTAATGCAAGAAATGTCCAACAAGTGTACGACTCAAGTTGATGAGATATAAATTGTATAATAATCAAATACTCCTATGAGTAACAATTAGATCTATTCATAGAGTAAAGCAAGCATGAAGAAATATTGAAACAAGCAAAAGAGTCCCGATAGTTGCATGCATCATGTAGGTAGGTTTAATTAGAAAATTAAAAGAGACCTGAGAAGAAAGATTCCTTCAGGTCTTCAACTGCTGCATTTTTCATAATTGCCTCCCAGATAGCTTTATCAGTTGACAAGGATACAACAATCCTCTGCAAAAGCATAAGTAACATTTGGGTAAAATTAGACCTTATTGCATTAATCAACAGAGAAAGTGGAAAGCCAAGGTTCTGTATAGAAATTGCAAATGGTAATCTTATTTACTTATTGTAGAATGAGGTGCTTATCAGAAACAATTTCAAGATTAATAAGTATGTAGGACGTGCTATTGCATTTGGAAATTTCAGGCCGAAATTGACACCACGTAGGATCCAGTGGAGCAGGGGGCAGATCATAGTAAGTCCTTGTCTGAGTTAGTATCCCTTAAGATAAAACCTTGATTTCATATGCTCAGTTGTGCCACCAATTTGAGGTCTTACAGGCCCCCCATGTTGCTGCTGGAGCAGCCATCATATCATTGCATGAGTTGACTAAAGTGATCAGCTCATGATATTTGATGCAGTGTCATGTAACTTATGGAAGCTGTATGATGTTGATCATATGTTCTTTTAAGATCAAGGATTCATGTGATAGCTGTGTGAGGCTCAACAAAAGTGACTCTTCTCCTCGGGGAGTGGCCAGTCACTTTACTAAATTGATGATTGCTGAATGAATGATTATGGAAATCTATTAACGAAAAGGACACCATTATATCTGATTGTATCTGGTCTCAGAATTAAAGACTGCTGAATGAATGATTATGTTTGGCCAATGGCTAGGTAACTATGTTGCTCCTTCTGTTATTCTTGTCTATTCTCCTTTCTTCTATAATTTGCATTTTTTCCCATTCATTGCCTTTATATCTCTTGGATGCTTATCAATAAGTATAAATTTCTTATTCCCCCTATATATTTTCTACTTGTTCTTTCTCAATACAGCAGCAAGTTGGTAGTTTTTAAACCAATACAGCAGTGGTAATTGTATCTACTACCTGTCTAGAATTACCTTCTCAGGCCTTCAACCTACCCTTGTTCTACCAAATTGTTATTTAAGCTGAACCTAAAGAAAAAATCTTACTTTTGATACCTTCATTATTCTATCTTCCAACAATAGGAGCATTGTATTCACATTCATCAAGAATGCTTTAATAGATAACATCTTGAAATATATGCCTTGGAAGATGAGCAATTGCATGATTGCAAAGTTGGCATTATGATTTGGAGTCTTACAAGAGCCAAATTTTTACCCCCAAAGGATGATGTGGATGAACAAGAATTTTTGAAATCTTCGAAAGAAGTGCATATTTCCATAGATCCAGGTATGAAAACCAAAAGAGGCTATGCAAAAAGATATAACGCAAGAGAAGGAACCAAGCATGAGAACAAGATGCACATTAGTAGTTTGATGAGAACTTCAACATAATATTGAGCTGCCATAGCATCCATGGATAGCAATGATGCAAGGAGAAGACAACAACGACAATGAGAGGAAGCAGAGGCTGAGGTGGCAGCAACACAGGTGATGGCTGCAAGGTGGAGGAAATAGAGAGAAGGTTCTGTGTTGACAGCTTTCAACAACTTTCAAACTTGTTTTCAGCCATAGAGTTTAAAACATAAAATAATTTACTATTTCCAACCAAACTAGACAAAATGGTTATATCCACGTACCAATCCTCTATCGAACCGATAAATACCTGGTATACTTGGCATTTAAAACCTTATGTTGTGAATCATTCATCATGAATATATAAGTCAAGATCTTGTAAATACATGAGTTATGCATGATTTGAATTATACACGAGTCAAAGACATTGGCAAAGATATTCAGAGCATCATCTAACCACTTTTAATGCAGAAAATAACAGTCGAGCTCCCGAGATAGAAATTATGCTCTGATATGGACAAGCGGATAAATGATATGGCTACTATTTTCAACCAATAGAGACTCAATGCATGAAGCCTAGTTAGCTCGGATATGATGAAATGCCAACTAGATCCACCATGTCAACATGGCATCTAAAGGAATATGACTTCATTAGGCCACTTAGTATTCTATAATGATGACAGTTACAAAGCCAACACTATATAAAGGGACCTCTCTATGTATGTTTTTATTCTGAGCTAACTAACCAAATAAACCAACATGACTTTTTCTGCTCGTAAGACACTGAACCATCAGAGGGGTTTTTCTGACACATCCTCGACATAGTCTTTTGCTAGATGGGCATGAGTCTTTTGCACCTGTGAGAGAAATTCCCCCTCAACTGAGTAGACTCTGACCACATCCCTCAAGACGAACTTTTCCCCTCTTACAAACATGACAAACACTCGGAAAACAGGTTATATTGGATCAATTTTGCTATGTCGAGTTGGTGACCATATCAACACACATGGAGGATTAGGTTCACATGTGAAGCATAATAGCCTAATGGCAGAACAGTTTCCTCCACACGATGACCAACTCTATGCAAACAAATACTTTGTTTAATAACTGAATATTTATGCTCCAAACTCCAAAGTAGCCTGAACGGTGTTCACTGAAATGGTGGTCTCCAGTTTTAACAATAATTTAATTGTCCTTATGATTAAATTAACTAGATGATCCTTAATTGATTTAATTTTACATCCAAACTCGAACCAATTAGGTCACCAACATGATTAATGATTCATTTGGAGATCATATTATGTGGTCTATGATTTTATTAGAACTCCAACAATCCTGATTTCTAACTACCTTTGTGGAATCGAGATCCAATTTCAATACTGACCTCATGTTGGCTGTTCGGTATCACATCAGGACATCCTTAACTATCCGACCTCAATCATCATTAGACAAATTTCATCAACATGGCCTATGAAAGCATCATTGTAACTTTAATCACCTAATTGTCATATATAGGGGAGAGACAAGGAGAAACAAAATTTGCCAATGTTTAACTTGCAAATATATTAGTAATAACGTGCATTACAATCCAATGGCAACAAATGCTTCCAGTATTCATCCATCACAGAAGACAAGAAAAGAAAATCAGATCGATGAGAAGATGCAAACACACTGTAGGTTCACAATCCATTGATGATTAAGCTATCCAAAGAGTTAGAAAAGCATGTAATTACCTACTATCATCATATTTTATCAACAGGGAATAAGGAGCAAGAAAAAAACTAATGGCTTCCATTTGGGACTGGGTATGATGAAATGGAAATTCTAGCAAAAATCTATCTTCTTTTCTTTTTTCCTTTTCTTTCTCTTCAGGAAAATAAGGAAGTAAAGTTGACTAGACAATTCAGAAATCAGATGACTCATAAAAAGCGAGATGATATAAATAAGTACTATAAAAAAGTTTTGTGCGACAAACATGAATCAGAAAATCAATAGAAGGAGTGGAAACATGGAAGATAGACATGGCCAGTGTAAATATGCAACTAGGAAAGCTGGAACAGAAAGAGGAGATTCCATTTATTACCTGGAGATCAGGATTTTTCTGTAATAAATTGAATAAATTGAGAATTTTTTGTTGTCCTTGAGAGTAGAATTCTTTTAGACTGCTAAGCTGCATTGCCTTCTCGACATGAAGCTGTAGTGCATGCCTATCGGATTCCTTTTCAGCAAGTTTGCTTGTCATTTCAGATGAAATTGATACATTATTGACAGCTTTCTTGTCCAAAGAAGGTCCAATTTCAGAAGCATGAACAAATGTCCCCAGAACAAATACTCTACAAGCAATACACGATGTGAGATTAGTCAAAACTAAGTCATACAGAATGTTTCATGAAATTCATCAAACTAATTATGAAAGAACTTGACAAGGAGAAAAACGATGTATGCAGCTGAGATTTATCTCCTTTTCTGCTAGTTCATAGCTGAAATGATTACCACTTCAATAGGAAGATACTATTTACTTACCAAAACAACTATGAGTCGTCTTTTGGTGCTAGACCCTCCTCATAGAGAAAATCAATAAGCATTAATAACACTGCATCTATAGAAATCCTCAGCCAATATCCTTTTTTTTTTATTATCATGTTACTGTTTTCCCATTGACAATACTAGATTGTCTTTCAAAGTTCAAATTTTACATGTAATTGGTTGTGAATGAGATTATAAGGAGCTTAAATCTTGATTTCAACATTCACGAATAACCAGCATACATGGGTTTGACTATTCGAAGTAATGCTGAACATTGACTAAGAACAAAAGAAACCTGTATGAGATCCACCAATTACAAAAACTAGTCATCAACCACCTACCACAAAATTGATTTGAAGAAAAAACTGAATATGTTTCCAAGTTTAATTACAGATTATATGATAATATAGAAGAGACAGGAATCAGCTACGCATGGACTTCATGTTAAAGGCAAACCATGAGCATGACATTACACAAGAGAGGGGAAAAGATGAATAAGTGCAGCAGTTATCTTCAGACTCCATAAGTCTACAGCTGTGAATATATGTAAAAAACAAAAAGAAAGTATCATAACAGAACAAGTATCATCATAATTTGTTGTTAAGTTATTTTCAGACTTCTTAAATCGACAGCCGACAAGATATGTAAAAGACAAAAAGAAAGCATCATAATAGAACAGTTATCATCATAATTTGTTGAATCCATTTTTTCAATTATTTCATTAAATTACAACAGTGTGGTACCTACAAGAGATAACTGTAGACTGAGTTGAGATCAGAGATATTAGTAAAGACAACTAATGCGTACAAGAAAAGCAATGGTGAAAAGAAATGAAGATACAGTACGAATTATCACTACAGGGGAATTTTCATTATCACCGCAACATCCCGAAGATTCACTTGAGAATTTCTAGCTGATAAAAGAGAATGCCCCTAATTTTAGTCGTATACAAGCTGTAGGTCTCATCTTATCCCAGCAATTATTTGTTTCGGCCTATCACATATCATCAATCCAACAAAATTGTCAATAGAAACCATAAAGCAGATTGCTTATATTAACAGTACAGCTCCCTGCCTCTGTCCACTCCAGATCCAACCTTTACCGATCATTTAATCGCACCATCTGTCAGTTGTAAGTGCTCTCATCTACAATACGGTAAGTCAAGCTACTTACTGCTTAAGGATGGATAGCGCCGCCTCGGTCTCCTCCTCGGAAGGGGGGAGCTCGAAGACAGGGCGTAAAGACAGAGGAGTCCCGCTGTCGCAGCTGGCCACCATCGACGAGTCGGAAGCGGAGCGAGGAGAAGCTTTGGTGGGTTTCGACCCAGCCATTCCCAGGAGGACGTCTTTTCCGACGAGATGGTCGCACTCCTCAGCGCCCACTCCGTTGGCACGGCCCATGGATCGCGGTCTGTTGCCTCCGGTCACTGCGGAATCCACCGGACAAAGAGCTTTACTCTTTATCTTCTTATTCTTCTCAATCAGTGCTCGTGGAGTGGGCATATTATTTTCACAAGAAAATTACTATATTATCCCTAACATAATATCCCTCGATTTCCAAATGGCAGCAATTAATTGCCAATTAGAAGAAATGAGCCGATTGAAATATCTTAATAAATGATAATTGAAATATTATTATTATTATTTTTGAAAGAAATTTTTATTACATCAAATGATATTATTATTTATATAATAATGCACTAACTAATTGAAATATCACTAGAAATATTATAATGCAAGTCTACTTTGATCGGCATAAACGACCAAATATATGGAATCCGCTGATGAGTACTATAATTAGATACATTTTCGTCCACCACTCACTAATTTTATGTTTTTTCCGGTTTTACTTCGTTCATATATAATTATTATTATTGTTATTATAACTCGAAGTCTCCGTCATTTAACGATCGTTTACTTTTCGTCGACTAATATGTAACGTCGGAGGTCAACAACATCATCGCGGCCAACGTGTCAACGAACGTTTGAGAACGTCTCGCTTGTGGTGATGATCATCACCGTATGATCGATTAAGCTGTTTCGCTCATCGGACGTTTGAGAACGTCCTGCGAGCGCAAGAACCGTAAACCGCCGCTGTATAAGGTCGTGGGAAGAATACGGGGTTCCAAGAGATTGCTTTAGGTTGTTGGTTTCCTTGTTTGAGAAAGAGAGGAGAAAAGAGAGATGGATGCGTTCTTCAAATCCGGCAGCTGGAGTCACGAATCGCTCAAAAATTTCCGGCAGATCACTCCCGCCGTCCAAAACCACCTCAAGCTGGTCCGGATCAAACCCCCCTTTCCGTTGATGTTTGTCTTGGTTAATTTGATGGTTTTCTCTTGTTTTTGAGATGTTTTTTTTTCCGCCCCTTGTTTTTCTCGTTTGGGCTTTTGTTTTTGATGGATCCACTTGATTTTCTTTTTAGGGCTTTTTTTGGATTCGTGTTGGTTCTTCTGAGAATGATTATTTCTTCGTCGATGTTTGTTTTTTTTTTTTATGCTCTCTTCTTTGTTGGAATTTGATCTGAACTTTGACTTCGTTTTTGGGGGGGTTGGAATGTAGGTGTACTTGACGCTATGTTGTGCACTCGCGGCATCGGCGGCAGGAGCTTATCTGCACATTCTTATGAACCTTGGTGGCTTGTTGACCACGCTTGGCTGCCTCGGGAGCATCATGTGGTTGCTGTCGACACCGCAGTATGAAGAGGTGAACCATGCCTTGTTCTTCTTTCCGTTCCCAAATCAACTTGCTTTCATGTTCAGGTTCATGATTCTTTTCAGCACACAAGTGATACAGCCCATTGTTTTGCTTCTTGCTGTTTAGGGAAAGAGGTTTGGCCTTCTGATGGCCGCTGCTGCCTTAGAAGGGGCTTCCATTGGTCCTCTTATTCGGCTTGCTGTCGACTTCGACACGAGGTACTGTTGTTTGTGTCGAACATGGGATATAAGTACAGATTAGTTATTTGTGCCTCTTTTTTCCTGGTTCAGTAAATTGCATCGAACTGTACGTTTTGCTTGACATTTTTCAGCTCTTTTAGCATCTTCTACGAAGCATGACTATGCCTATTATCCATTTTTGGTCTTTTTCACTGGGCTTCAATGGTCTTTCAATCAACCTATTTGTCCATTATGTTATTTCTATAAGTGACTGCAAGTGTTATTTAGTTTTGTCTGCTAAGTTAGACATTAGTGTATCTCACTTAATTAGATGAATCTGTTTTTCGGCCCAGATTGAACCAATAGGAAAAGGTTGTGAGCAAGAGAACCGTGTCGATGGATGTAAAAGATATGGTTGTAAATTAGTTCATCATCTTGGAATGCATACAGTGATAGCTTAGTTTCAATGTGTTCATACTTCTACTGAACATTTGTACCATTGATGTGATTTTTTTTAACCCCTTCTTTAAAACTACGGAAGACCAGTGAAGTTGTCGGACTTTCTAGAACTAATTTGCCAGTAATTATGCTTATTTTTCTTCTTAATATGGAACAGTCAATTTTGTTTTTTAAATGTCCAATGCCTATTCTGGATTTTATCTGGATACAAGTTTGTCAAACCAGGTATGCAGTTTCTTTTATGATCTACAATTGTTGATCTCCTGCAAGTGTCGTGTTTTAAATTGGTTAGCCATCCATCATTCATTGTTAAGAAAACCAATAGCATGAAAGGATGAACTGACTTAAAACGTAACTTGAAACATGCATTATATTGTTCAGGCACTAAAACAGTGTTGCATGGTTTTCAAGTCTTTTAACTCTGTAGGGACTAGGGAGGGTCGATGTACATAGACAATCTTACTCATGCAAGTAGAGAGGCTGTTTCTGTGCTGTTGTATTTAGGCAGTATGACTTTTACTTTATATATTGGTCATGCCAGTCCGTCAGGGCATGGTTTTCATGAAGCTTATTTTAGTCATGCTAGAAAAATAAGCATGTGACTTATTGTATTATTACAATAAATTCCATCTCAAGCAGACACAAAAAATTTAATCTTTCTTGCCCTTCCAAAATCTGACCACAATCTTGATGGCCTTAGTTGCATATGGTTTCTTGAGTTTTCTATGGCTGTTACAAATTTCTGGATGACAGCATATTATAAAAAATGATATATTTGTTAGTGGATGCTGTAAAATGACACATAATGTACACAATTTTTTATCAATTTGTTTTTTTATTGTGTTGCTATGGACATGGAAATGATCTTGTGGCTAGGTGACACATGAATTCATATAGGACTCTTTAACTTTTTTGTTTTCCCATGTATCAAAATGGTACCAAACCCATGCCTGATCATAGCCAGTATGTTGTACCTGTTTCTTTTAAAGATATAGCAGAGTTCATGATTGGTGCCTCTTCTCTGTGATTTACACCCACTGCTAAAACTGCAGTGGTGTCCTGCTGTACCCTTATGACACATGACATAGGTATATCACATTGTTTACTAGTATTTTGTGTCTTTGAAGGCTGTCCGAGGGAGCGTTTGGGAACACATTTATATTTTTGAAGTGTATTTGGAGAAAGGGGTTTGAGGGGATGTGTAGTTGTAGAATACTTTAAATGTTTCGTAACAATAAATAAAAATTATATTTTAAAAATGCATTGACGTAAGCATTGTTTGGTAAAATTATACTTTAGAAGTTCATTGGAATTATGTGACAAATTTACCCTTCTAATATTTTTAATATTTATTCAAAAGTTATAAAAATTTGTTTGGCCCAGATATATAATAAATAAATAAAATAATCATATAAGTGAATGTGGTAGAAATCGAGAGAAAAGGGGAGGAAATGAGGGTTATGGTTTCTATTATAAAATAGCAATCTTGTTATTTTAGATAATGCCATAGAGTATTTTGATCATTTATAAAATTTTATTAGCATCCACAAATGTTGAAATGCTAATGCTACCCTAAGGTAGGGTCAGCATTTGAACATTTGCAATGAACATCCATGCCAAATGCAATTTGAAAAAAAAATTATCGAACGTCAATTCACATTTAAAATATTCATTGGACTCTCAATGTGCATTTGAAATGTATTCCCAAATGCACCCTAAATTTTAATTTATCAATGAATATATATATATATATATATAACCCTATTTCAATTTGGTCCATTATTCAATGAACTTATAACTTTGCAGTAATATTGTCCTCTCGTTAGGAGACATCATTGTCATATCTCCTAAATTTACAAATTCCTTTTGGATGTACAACTTAATCAAAGTTAACTCTTTCTAACAGCATACTAATCACCGCTTTTGTGGGGACTGCACTCGCATTCGGATGTTTCTCAGGAGCAGCCATTGTAGCTAAGAGGAGAGAGTTCCTTTACTTGGGTGGCTTGCTATCATCTGGGCTCTCTGTCCTCCTATGGCTGCAGTTTGCTGGTTCCATCTTTGGACAATCTACTGCTATGTTCAAGGTCGAGGTAGGTTTCTAAATTCTAGCACAAAAGGAAAGACACTGCAGAAGTTATTGCCATGTTTTGTCCCTGTCTAATTCAGTTCTGCTCATGTCTTCTTTCCCAGATTTACTTTGGACTGTTGGTTTTTCTCGGATACATGGTGTTTGACACCCAAGAGATCATAGAGAGAGCCCACCATGGCGATCGAGACTATCTGAAACATGCACTGACCCTCTTTACAGATTTTCTTGCAGTTTTTGTTCGTATTCTCGTCATCATGGTAATCCAAATTCGCCTTAGCTTTCCTCTCCAATGTCAAAGTTGATTGTTTTGTTCTGTTTTGATTTACTATTGTTTTCTTGTGCAGTTGAAAAATGCATCTGATAAGTCCGAGGAGAAGAAAAGAAAGAAGAGATCGTAGATCCTATCATTTTCGCGCATATAGTTGCTTCTGCATAACAGCTCCTTCTAGTCCTTTATCCTGCGTGGCATGCATCGTTAGTCGTCTGTGACAAATGTGTCTCGTGCGTGTCTTACAAAACATTTCTATAGTAATGGGCGATGTTTGTAAGGATGTGTATGTGTCTTCCTGCTACTTTTTAAGTTTCACTTGCGCTGTATGTTCCAATAAAACTTGTGAATCACAATGGATACTTGTTCTACAATTATCTTATCTATGTGTTCGAAATGGAAACGGCTGCCTACTTGATCTTAATCTTATCCGAGCACGTAAATCCAATTCGGACACCAATGTTTCTTTTTGAATTCATCCAAAATACACCCAGCAGATGTCTGGAAAACATCTAAACCACTAGCATCCCTAGTCAAATTCACCATGGTTAGATGGGCCGAGATGTCATCCGACGGTAGTATCCAAAGAACCTAAATATTTCTTTATATGAGGACAAGGTTGAAGAAAGAGACAAATGCTTCCCAATAAATCCGAGAAGCAACGACACCAGCAAGAGCATGATTGTTGTTTCACGTGGGATTGGTGCTTCACCGGAGCTGACCAACACTGCATTATCTCTGTCTCTGGCCTCAACCGCATAAAGGTCAAACAGCTGGTGTTTGAACCCGCCGATAAGGAGACAAGCTGGTCCACACTCCCTTCTCTCCTTTTCTTGCTTCTAATTTCCACGACTTAATGATAGGAAGAACAAGCGGACATGACATGTCACAGAAGAATTATGATCATCTTCATCTGTTTGGATCTAACACACAAAATAGTTTGTGTCGTCTCCACAGAATTCATATTCCTCTGGATAGAGACTGATAGTGGAAGAAATCGGTTTCACTTGTTCTTCAATCCAGTTATATTCTATCAAATCTGTGGATGATCTCTCGGAGTGTAGCAAATAGGGGTACTTGAAATATCCAAGGCAGGTAAATTTACTCAGTCTTCAGAGTAAGTTAGGAGCATATGTGATAGTGAAGATAGGTAACTTGAGAAAAAATAAAAAAGAAAATTGAACACACACTGACAGGAAACTGTTCACAGTGACATTCATGTTTTTGGTTTCACCTCAAAATTAAAACAGACAATGGCATGTTTGATGCTTGCAACAGACTCTTTAATACAGAAACACTAGCACAGGGTGTTCCGGATAATACAACTAGGTCACCGATAAATGCCATCGACGGTCAAATCACATTTACAATCAAGTAACTCGATCTCTAATCCCTCTCCGACAAGCAGTCAAAGTGCCAATGGCATCTCACTATGTTGATCTGAGGATCACTTGAGCATTCTCCAGATTAGGCTTTAGATCTTCACAGTTGGAGCGGAAGAACTGCAGAAACACCAGCACTTCTAGTTGTCTTTTGATTCGAGGAGCATCTCGACTACTTTCTTCATCTTTGGCCGTTTCGCTGGCGTCTTATCAGTGCAGAGCATGGCAACCTTCAAAACACCAAGCATTTGCTTCCTCCAAGCGAACGAGAATGTGCTGAGCCTTGCATCCATAATCTGCTCCGGGGTCTCACCCCTCTCCGATGCATTATGAACCCATTTGACCAGATCCATCCCCTCTCCAAAGACCTCATCAACTGGCAGTTTGGATGTTAAGATCTCAAGCAACACTACCCCAAAGCTATAGACATTTCCAGAGACAGTGACTTGCATTGTGTAGGCATATTCTGATAGAAAAGGAAGCATCATGACAGATGCAAATGCATCAGTACTATGCAAATTCAATAAATGACTCTAAGGAGGAATAGAACGAAAAGAATGTGAGAGTTGACCTGGAGGTATGTAACCGAAGGATCCTGCCACTGCACTGATACTAGCAGTTCCTTTTGATGGGTCCAACAGCTTGGAAATCTCTATCTCCTCAATCAGAGGGTTAAAATGGGAATCCAAGAATATGTTGCTTGATGAAATGTCCAAATGGATGATGGCAATATGGTGAAGAAAAGCTAATCCTTCGGCAACTCCAATAGCTATAGACAGCCTTCTTGGCCAGTCTGGCTCATACTCAGCTTGCACCGTGCCGTGAAGAAGTTCCGCTAGTGTTCCATTAGGCATGTGATGATGAAGCAACAGTGCCACATCCTCGTAGATCACATAGCCAATCGGCCGCATCAAATTGGCATGGCAAAGATTTCCAAGCCTCTCGAGTTCTCTGATCATTTTGTTCTGGTGGTGAGTCACAGTTTTGTCCACAGATTTCAGCCTCCTCACTGAAACTATGAGGCCTGAAGGCATAACGGCCTTATACACAGTACTGAACGTTCCACTGCTTATCTTACTTGCATCCTCCATCGTTGCTTTGACGACACTTTCGAAGTCTATGGCTTGTTTCAAGTTCTCTATGAACACATTTCCAGCTGCTATCTGCGGACGAGGCACAACTACGTCCCCTGCAACTTTAGCAGCCTTGGCATCCATCTCTTGTTTCTCTCTTAGCATGAAGAAGCCAACAACAACAGATACCATAGTGAAAACAGTCAAACCAGAACCAACTACCGCGAGAATTATCTTGTATGAGACCTTGTGGTGGTCCGAATCATAGTCAGAACCAAAAAGAGTTCCACAATCTGAATTCAGCGGATCACCACATAATCCTTCATTGCCTAGAAAGCTCGAACGAGGACTCTTTTGAAATGGTCCAAAAATCGGTATTTGGCCTCTTAGCTGGTTGTTTGAGAAATTAACCTCAATCAAACTCAGCATGCCTTTGAGTTCTAGTGGAATACATCCAGAAAGTTGATTGTTGGAGATGTCTAACTCGACCAGCTTATCAAGCTTCCCCAACTCTCGAGGAACTTGGCCCCAGAGACGATTGAAGCTAAGGTTGAGAGCAATCTGCAAGTTCTTGATCTTACCAATCTCGGGTGGGATGACACCGGAAAGGTAGTTGCTCCCTAGCTGTAGCTCGAGCAGCCTGTTACAATTGCCGATCCCTCGAGGTATCTCCCGGCTAATGGAGTTATGGTCCAGAAGCAGGAACTGCAACCTCGACATGTTGCAGAGGTCCTCTGGCAAGCTTCCATTGAATCGGTTGTAGCTCAAATCAAGCTTACTAAGATTTCTGCACCGGAGCATGGACTTGGGGAACTCACCCCCGAGACTGTTGCCAGAGACGATGAATTCTTGCAGGTTCTTGAGCTGCCCGAGGTTGTCGGGGACAGTCCCCGTGAGACCATTGTAGGCCAAGTTCAAGAGGGTGAGGTTCGAGCACTGTGCAAACTCCGGCGGAATCTCGCCCGACAGGCGATTGTTGTCTGCCTCGAAGTACGTGAGGCTGCTAATGTTGCCGATGGAGAAGGGAATGCTTCCGACCAGCTCATTGTTCCCAATCCGAAAATTGGAGAGGCCTTGGCAGTTCCCGATCGACGCAGGAAGGCTGCCGTTCAATCTGTTCAAGGTCAGCACCAGAACTTCCAAGTTCCCCGACCGGAAAATGCTATCGGGAATCCCTCCTTCGAGCTGGTTGGAATGCAGGTTGAGCACCTTAAGCTGGGAGATGGAACCCAGATTTCTGGGAATAACACCAACCAAGATGTTCTCGTACGCGGAGAAGACTCTCAGATCAGCGAGGTCTCCGACCCAACCGGGGATGCGGCCGCTGAGCTTGTTTCCAGAAATCTGCAGCTCCTGCAACCTGGCTAGGTTCCTTAGTTCATCAGGCACTTCATCCAGGAGCACGTTATTGGAGAGGTTCAGTGATCTGAGGTCCTTGAGGCCGCCCAGAGAAGAAGGAATCCTGTCCTCGAACCTGTTCATGGACAGATCGAGGAACTGGAGCGCTTCCAGACTCCCGAGAGACGGAGGAATGGCCCCGCGGAACGAGTTGCCGGAGAGGTCTAAGCGCTTCAAAGAACGGAGCTGGGAGACGAGGGAGATGTTACCTTGGAGGTTGCGATGGGGCAACTCGAGCGCCTCCACGGGACGGTCCGCGCCGCCGCCGCAGGTGACGCCGCGCCACGCGCAGTAACCGGAACTGTCGGAATCCCATCCCGCCACGGCGAGCTCCTGTTGGAGGGCCGCCATGGTAGCCTGGTCAGCCAGCTGAGCTGCGGCTGGTGGGCGGCTGGTGAGCAGCAGGTGGGTGGCCATGACGAGAGAGAAGAAGACATGGCAGCACCGAAGGCTACTGACCGCTAACATCTCACTGGATTTCCCTTAGGATCTACGAAGCTCCAGTCGGGCAATTCCAAGCTTCCCACTCAGGAACTCAAAGAGCCACAGCAGGACAGAAGACCCAATACCTCTTTATCTTTCCCTTTCAATCCCAGCAGAAAAGCCAGAATCTGTCTGCTTAAATCTCTCGCACTTGGACTCCAAATCCCACCACATTTAGCACACACATCTCCATCAACTACAGAATATATGCCACATTGGTGGAAGAACAAATCATTGCTTAAATTCCCTGACAGCCTCTACAGCAAAACTTAGAGAGAGAGGAGGGGTTTCAGGAATCCACCAGAGTGAAGTTGCTCTGATCACAAGATCACAAGCCTCTCGTGTCCATCCGTGACAGGAATAGTTGGTGGGGAAGCAGCAAGGACTGAGACTGCTGTAGCAGACATGACCTCCAGCCCCATCTCCCTATTTTTTTCTCTCTCCTACTTTACTCTCCTGCACAGTTTGCTGAGGCCGGAGTTAATTAAGCTCAGATTCTTCTGCGTCGCTAATGATGCAGAGGCCTCCTCCTCTCTTTCTTTAATTGATGAGGAAAGGCGAAAGGAACAGTGAGTTGTACCTTGTACTCATGGCGCCCCATCGCTGGGCGCCATGAGTGTGTCATTTGACTCTTCCCAGGGCACAAACCCCCCTTTCTTTTTTCCTCTGGTTAAGGCAACCTTCCGTTGAATCGATGGCATACGGGGGGTCCTTCGACCTTTTTCTTCGATCTTTCTTCTCCGGAGAGTACGGCTCACCACTTGCTACAGATGTGTTCTGCCTCGGGCTTGTACAAACGTATGGTTGCCCTCTTCGCTTTGTGCTCGATAATAGATTAAGCACATCCCACAATGCATTAAATACTAATTGGCAACAGAGTTCATGGTAAGACACGGACATATGTCAGAATAGGGCAAGCTTGTCTTTTTCAGCTTCATGTGTCGTACTGTTGGGAGTATTTACTGTCATAAAAAAGGCCAGATGATCTTTGACTGGAAAATGACTATGAGTGGCATCATTCTCCTTCATCATCGTCCCATTTTGTGCAGATGAAGATGATTCAAATATAAGGAAATATATTGCAAGAAAATATTTCAAACGTTATGAATAATAAAATATGCAAACTATGCGTCATAAAAACATTCGACAATACTCAGATTAGTGCAAGAAGAAATCATGTTCCTCCATGCTTCTTCTACATGAACAAAAGAACACAATATTTTGTTCCAAGAAAACAGATTTGAAATTGAAGACGCTTTGTGCCTCGAAATCTGGAACAAAATCAATAAATTGTGACAAAAGCAATTTTAAAGAGAAACCTGCAATTTCACATTGCAAAGTGAAATGCTAATGATTTGTTTTTGAAGAAGATCATCTTCACAATTTGCCCAAATGTTCTTAATGTACGATACCTGATTCTATATTTGCTAAAATCAAACTCTGTCAAAGATTAATTATCACTGCCTTTGAATTCCCACCTAAAAATTCACCTGCGAAGAGAGAGAAGCTTTCAAGTTCCAATGTAAGGACCAGCAAACAAGTCCTGTGGACATGTTAAATAAGCGTGAACTTTGGTATATGCATGTTGCTGCCTCACGAATCATAGTAAAAGGAAACCAATTGTGTAATAAAAACACAAAATTCAGATGAACTAACTGTGATTATTTGTCTATCATGCACATGAGAGACCATCTAACAGATGATTAGATGAGACGAGATAGGTTAAGAAACTGAGAAAAAACTAGACGAGTACTTTTTTCCTTGAAGCATGCTACTAGGATATTTAGATAGAGAGAGTAGATTTCCATTAAAAATAAGTATTATCAAACCAACTTTCTGAACCCTGTTGTCACTCACGAAAGATCAAATGATTGCTCAAGTTGCTCAATGTAGTGTTAACAGGATTATTTGCCTAGTTTGCAATGTAATCAGAAATAAGAAAGTACCAGATGAGCTGGACATAAGCTACAAAGTTAAGCAATGATATCAAAAGTAACATTGTTCCAAGAGAGAGTAGCAGAATAGTTCTGCATGTTCCATGACTCTGAAATGAGTTAGCAATAAAGAAATTTTTCCTATCAGATCTGATACTTTTTACTAGGAAGCTTCAAAAGTATTCATCTGGCAGAAGAATATGCTGACAAGGCATTTGGACAAACTAATGCAACAATATCCAAACTTAATAGGACTTTGTTACCTGGACAGATCATTTTACTTCAAAGTACTTGTGTTGATCTGGAACTCGTAATCATAAGTACTGGTGTTGACCTTGCATCCAAAAGTATATATTTCTATAAATAGAATGATCAGATACTAGAACACATTTACCACTTCCACTAATGTAGCAATCAGGCACTAATAAAAAAAAATGGGAGCATGTCAAACAGATTGGAATGCACAACTATGAAAGGGAGTTCCCTCTAATGGTCCCTCTCAACATGCTCCACCAGCGCTACCGGATCTCTAAATCCCTTGCTACATTTTGGGCAAACATCAATCGTCACTCTATTGCCACCTGCTCGAGAACTTTGCTGATGAGATCTCTCTACATGTTCAATTAAAGCAGAAACAGTTGAAAACCTTGCTCGGCATTGAACACACTGTTCCACAAGCTCACCACCACTGCTGCTTTCAGCAGTTCCACTTTTTGCCTTCTGTAAAGCTTGTGTGGTCACATTATTCACCTTCATCATGCCTGATTCGGCCGAGGCACGGATATTGGACACTGCCTTCATCAAGCTTGAACCCCACCATGAGGAACTATTTGAACTTCTATCTTGCAGTGACTTCCCCTTTTGGTTCTTATTAAACATACCTCCGAATGAGAAACCAGAATCTGGTTTCCTTGGCCCAGGACATTTGTGATCAGGCCCAAATCTATGCTTCAAACAGTGTTCTTCAGTACAATCCTTGCATCTGACCGAGTTAGATAAACTCAGTACTTCTTTGCAACCAGGGACAGGACATCGTCTTTTCTTGGTTGCTCTTTGGTAGTTTGAAGGGTCGCAGTCAGTATTAACATGTGAGTCCCAAGTTACGTTTGGATCTTCACCTAGGACCAGACGAACTCCTTTAGCACATAGTGGGCATATTAAGACTGTCACATCATTCTGATTGGCGTTAGGGCATTGATGATTGAAATAACCCCTATGTTGCAGACAAAAAACCTGGCAATATTATAACATTGTCATAAAAACTCTGATACAAGATGGAAAAGAAACGAAAAAGAAAAGCACAAATATCAAATCGCCATGCTGAGACTGTAAGTTAAGTAAACATATAATAAGCAACAAATGGGCAAAGAAAAATGAAAATTCATTTTCTGAGATAGTTGTTTATTTGAATTTACTTGACATTCTTCATAGAATTAATTGTACACATATAGCATGAGCATAGTTGGACTCCAAACTTTCTATAGCCTCCCCATTAGAAGATATTATTTCTATGATAAGTGTGAGGCATTATTAAAATGTTTACACTATCACTTAACTAGGATGAAAGCAGTACAATTGAAAGGAGAAGATTATTGTATGACTCAAGGAATGCAATTTCGGGTACCGGAGCCATGTTGATCCATGGCCTAACCAGAATAGGTCCAAGCCAATCTACGTTGTATGCCTAAACATACTTGTGGTATCAAGTTCTATAGGGGGTGGGTGGGAAGAGAAGAGGAGGAAGAGAAGGAGGTGGAGGAAGAGGAAGAGGAAGAGGAAGAGAAGTCGCATGAGGAAGATTCGGAGGAGGAAGAGGAGGAAGTGTACCCAAAAGAGTTCAGCGATGCATGACGGACGAGGGTGGATAGGTGGCAATGGATGGCAAAGGGCAAGATGCTCTATACGTCAAGATGGAGAAGAAGGCTCACAATTTCATGATCCCTAATTGAATCGGCAGGTTTATATTTTAAAGATATGTTATTTTTAGTTGGACCAAATCAGACCGCCCGAAACGCAGATGGTCTTGCTCAGATCGATAAATACCGATCACCACAAATCGATCCAAGTAAAATTGCAAACTATGGAATGATTACTATTCCATCATGAACCCACCGACAAGTTTAAACTTTAAAGATATATATTTTTAAATTGGATCTGACCAGATCGTCCAAAATGGGAATAGTTAATGCAATAGTTCATGCTTGGATCAAGTAAATACTGGTCCTAGGAGGGACCGATCCCAACGAAATAGCAAACCATGGAACGACCACTATCCAACAAACTACAAATAGGTTATTACCAAGGTACAAGAATGGGAAATTGATTATCCAAACCTTAGGCATAATCAAGTTATTCCCTATTGTTTGCTACTTTGTAGAACAATAAATGATGTGCACTATCAACCATATTTGAGAAAGCACTAGAACAATCATTTTGGAAGAAGTCAACAAGATGACCTAAGGACACAAGAAAGAAAAAGAAAAGTTTTACATGTAGCTTATTGCTGTAGTATAAAATATAAATAACAAAATCAGGTTGCCAAAGTGGACAAAACTCCAACCAATGGGGTAACTAGTAGAGGTTTGACAGTCTTCTCTACAGCAACAACAACAACAAAAAGACATAAAATAGAATAAAACAAAGCCATTTTTAGTCTTATCTGTGCGAATATGACTATTTTTGTTACTCAAGCTTTGATAGCATAAACCACAAAGGAACGACCTTAACATGATGCCAAGGATTAATCTTATAGACTTATACATAACTAAAAGGGTCATAAAGATCTTGCATTGTTGACAAACAAGGAACCTTATGGTTTATAAGCATGCATGCCACATTTTGTTATTTAACTTCAAACTAGAGAGTGCATCAGATGACTGTGCTGTGATAACTTTCTCTCTTCATGGGCCTAGGTCTTTCTATCTTGTGTTATTATCTCGCCAATTTCTTATCTGTGGGCATTTGCAGACCTTTCTGAACAAGCCAGTGTTACTTGGTTTTCTATCGGCCAGCAAAGCGATAGCCTTTCATTAGTCATCTAAAAGATGAGTGGCCATTGGACCATCTTATTGATGGCATGAGGCTGTTAATTATCAAACAAAGGTGACTCTTTTTCTAATCTCCAGAAAGTCAGTCACCTAAATCCCCTTCACAACATTACAAACACAAAGTTTGCTCTCTCACTCACTTGATTCCTCCAATCCTTTCACACCTTCAAACTATTAGTCAGAAGTAGGCTTCCTTGGCATGGTTGGGCTAGAAATTACTGCTTGATGCGTCAACGAAGCGTGTGGAATCACTGTGAGGATTCGTATAGGATATTAGAACAATGCATTAAATATTTGTCCCTGAGCACCTCACGTTCCTTTCTTGTCTATGATATATGCCCACATTTCTAAGAGTCACAAAATGATTTTTAGCATATGCTACTAGGCTTCACTATAGCAAGAAGACAGGTCACAGCATGATGACATGGCAAAAGGGCCTAAAATGAGGCAGGAGTTTTAGATCAAATAATATACCCTTAAAAGTTGAATCCACCATTAAAGAGCAGGAAAGGCCTGAAATTGGTTATATAACCTTTGGTACATAATGTTATTCAAATCACTGGAGCATCATACAAGGAGCATATTTATAATACTAATGGGGTGGCACACGCTACCATAAATTGATTAGCTAACAGATGGACTTGGATGAAGAGTGAGTATAACTCATGACCAACTTACATCCCATGGATCTCTACAGTAGCAAAAACAAACAGGCAGAGTGTCTCTGTTGAGATAACTGATCTGATCGGTTAGTGTATTGTTGCATTCTAATATTAAAAAAAATAAAGCAAGTGTAGCACCCCATTAAGCAAACCTTTCAACTAAAATCCCTACACTGCAGCAAGACAACATGATCTATTATGTTAACTCTTAAATTTCAGCAAATCACCATTTAAATTAAGCCCTGCCGCAAAGTTGAACATCAAGAATCCTTATCCTTGAATCAAACTAGGTATTCTTATTCCCAACGTGATAACATACAAATTGAGTACCTGATTGCAGCGGTCGCAGGTGAAGGGCAGGAAATCGATCTGCCTGCAATCGCCAACGCTGCAATGCTTCCCGAGATGAGGGAATTCCGGCGTTCCCATCAAGAGAGTTGCGCACGGGGGAGGGTGGTTTGGTGTTGGCGGCGATGACGACGAGATAGACGGAAGGCGATCAATCGAGGAACGAAACGATTAATCTGAAAGAAGTCGAGATACAACCTTCTTCCTTCTCCCTCTCTTATAGTTCGTCCGACGCAGCTATTTGCCCTTTTCTGGTCGTCTTCGGAGTCGGCAAAAGCGACCGCGTAAAGAAATAGAAAGAAATAATGCGTTTTCTGTTGAAAGCGTCCAAATATTCCGAATTTGTATA